AATATCGATATTGATTTCTACCAACACTCTTATAGGCACTTCTATTCTTTGACTTTGAGCGGTTGAACTGGCGGCGGTTTGGATCACGTCCTCGAACAGCTAATGCATCTCCTGATGCCTTCTCGGAGGGTTCAACATCACTCTTCCTCAACTCATAATTCACCAAAGCTGAGATCACCTCATTATAGCTAACTGTAGTTCTTCCATTGATCATAGTTAGAACAAACGTACTATAATCATCCTTAGGTAACGAACACAAAAGTAACATCGCCTTGTCTTTATCTTCAACTCTGATGTCCACATTGTCCATATCTGAAAGTAACTTCGTGAAATTGTTGACATGCTCCCATCTGAAAGTAACTTCGTGAAATTGTTGACATGCTCCCTGATGAAAACTCCCCTTTTCATTTTAAACTGGTAGAACCTCTTCTTCAAATAAAGCCGATTCTCAATGCTCTTCGTAAGATACTTCTCATTGAGTGTCTCCCACATCTTCTTCGCCGACGTCTCGTTCATAACATCATAAATAAGATCCGGCGTCAAGCATGACCTAATAACACCACAAGCTCTACTGTTCATCTTCCTCCAAGCCTTATCCTCTATATCATCGGGTTTCTCTTTTAACTCAAGAGTCTCCTTCAAATTCTGTACATCCAATGCGTCCATCACCTGACACCTCCACAATCTGAAATTGATCTTGCCATCGAACTTCGGAATATTAATCTTCGTGTTATTAATGCTCAGACTCTGTATCGTCTTCGTAAGAGACGAACCCGATGTGCTTGCTTCTCCCATGTTGTCGATCTAACTCTTCAGATAGGAATCTTTACTGAATCCTTCGAACATGCCTAAAGCTCTGATACCAATTGTTGTGCGCGGTAGAAGTTCTCGAAGCGACACGAACAATAACTCGAGATAAATCATAACTACTAAGCAAATCACAATCACAGCGAGAATAAACTATTTACGTTATTCGGCAAGTTGTCTACGTCCACGGGGCAAGGAGGGAGGGAGTTCTTACTATTAGAAATCAAGATAATACAAATAGAGTTACAAATCTCACCGATCAAATCCTAAAACAAAGCTCTAGATCTCTCACAAATCTCTCACAATTGGATGCAGAAATTCTTTTTAAAAGACTGCTCAAAATCGTCTTTGTTTAACCCTAATTAATTACAATTAGAGTTATATATCAACTCAGAAACGAACCGGGTCAAAAATCAAACCCAACCCAAAAACAGTGTGCGGTCGACCGCGACGGTCGACCGCGAAGGTATCGCGGTCGACCGTGACTGTCGACCGAACCAAAAACCCGAGAGCAGAATCGATTATAGTCATGACGCGGTCGACCGTGGCGGTCAACCAAATCTCATCCCGAGACGGTCGACTGTCACAGTCGACCGCCTTCAGCTCCGAATCCTACTGCCCTTCTGTGCACGTTCGCAGTCGACCGCCGCTGACTCGCGGTCGACCGCCAGTCTGCCTGGCCGATTCTCCTGAACTTCCTGTTGCTTCTCTCGCCACTTCTTCACTTCAAATTATCATTTACTAAAATGAGCATGATGTATATACTTATAGAAGTTATAATCATGTCAATTAAGTTGATTTAATAGTAAGGTTTAAAATTTTCACTCGTGTGTAAAGTATTTTTCAGAGTAAAGTTCACAAAACCACTACTAAGTAAAATGAACTTTACAAACAACCATATTAAACTACTTTTATTAGAGAATACCACCACATAATAAGCAGCAAAAAACTGCACTAACATCATTAACGACGTAAAAAATAGTGAGAAATACTTAACAGTATTCTAAATAATCCTTGATTCATATTGTGGGTACGAGTACAAGATACTTCTCTTACTTTCCTTTTATTTATTTATTTTGATATTTTACAGGATGAACTGAGAGATCTTGCAAAAAGTGAAAGAATGGCGATAAACATTTCAAATATTGCAAACTTTTTTCTTTTTGCATTGAAAGTTTATGCATCAATTGAAAGCAAGTCCCTGGCAGTGATTGCTTCCACATTTGACTCCTTGTTGGATCTGCTCTCTGGATTTATTCTCTGGTACACATCATATTTCATGAAGAAACCTAATCAATACAGATATCCTATTGGAAAGAAGAGGATGCAACCTCTGGTAAGCTTTTTACCTTAATGTAGATAAAGTTTGATTTGTTAAGATATTACATATTTTCCCTTAATTTTGAGGCAATTTAGATTTTTTTTTAAGTTAATTTGAGACTGAAAATGTAATTTTTTATCATGTGATTCTCAAGTGAGATCTCAATCTAAGCTATTGAGTTTAAGAGGGTGTGAGAGCTAATAATGACATGACATAGCAAAGAGGATTTCGTGTAATTTACCTTTTCTTTTAATACTAATTCATTCTAATTTTTGTTGAATTTCAGGGGATTGTAGTTTTTGCTTCCATAATGGGTACACTTGGTTTGCAAATATTGTTGGTTTCATGTCAGCAACTCATCTCAAAGGTATACTTTTCTTCTTATTGGGATTGAATCTCAAGCTTAATTTAAAACTTGGGCCTGTTTGGATTTGTAGGGGGTGAAGGGAAGTTAAGGGAAACTGAGTGAAGGGAATGGAAGAGAAGGGAAGAGAGTTCTTTTCCCCTTGGTTACACCCCAATTTGGGGGTAACAATTTTTATACTATTAGGAGGTGAACCAAGGGGAACGGGGTAACAATTTTTATACTATTAGGAGGTGAACCAAGGGGAACTAGGGTGAATTAACTTCACCTCTAAGTGTTCCCAAACAAGGTGAATGGAGGTTAGGGTGAATTAACTTCACCTCTAAGTGTTCCCAAACAAGGTGAATGGAGGTGAATGGTTCCCCTAACTTTCCTTCACCATCATTCCCCTCAATCCAAACAAGCCCTTAGCATCTCTACAACTTTTACTTATTGGTAAACTATTTGTTGCAAATTTCTTTCTCATCTTCGAGTACTGATACTAAACATTGTTTAACCATACATGATGTTTTAGTCTCACCCAAATTTAGCCGATAAGAATGAGAATTGGATGATTGGTATCATGACTTCAGTCACAATAGTGAAATTTGTGCTTATGATATACTGCCGAACATTCAAGAATGAGATTGTGAAGGCATATGCTCAAGATCACTTCTTCGATGTAATTACGAATTCCATCGGTCTGGCTACTGCAATTCTCGCTGTTAGATCATATTGGTGGATCGATCCTATAGGTGCGATTTTGGTATGTTGGTTAACCTCTTCCTCTATTTTGTCTTTATCTGTTTTAAGATCTTTTCCACTGCATCAAAACATCAAAATTATTGTGACAATTGATGATTATAATTTTATACTCTGACGTGACAGATAGAGGGCCCTTATTAGTCATAACTTGGAATTTGTAAATTCCATTTTTCTCTAGTATCATGGTAAAACATCTTTATTCTATCAATATTTCACAATAATGATAGAATTTTAGGGTTGTAATTTTACACTTTAACATGCCTTACATGCATGGCCCTTCAGAAGTTAAAATTTTTAACACAATAATTACTTATCTATTTAAAGTAATTTGAAGTAGTGGCAAATGGGAGATTTGAATTGTTAAAAGTCTCTTTATTTCATCAAAAGTCTGAAGATGTGATGAAAATCGAGGGTTTAATTTTGTACTTTAATGACGTTTACTAATTATCACATATAACTTTTTATAATTATTTCTTGCAATGAGCATATTTTTACTTCATTTTTAATGTATGTCTAACAAAATGCAATTTTTTATGCAGATTGCTCTATACACAATAGTCACATGGTCCAAAGTTGTAATGCAGAATGTACACTCACTCATTGGGAAATCTGCACCTCCTGATTATTTAGCAAAGTTGACATATCTCATATGGAATCATCATGAAGAGATTAAACATATTGATACAGTGAGAGCATACACTTTTGGTTCATTTTATTTTGTGGAGGTTGATATAGTTTTGCCTGGAAATATGCATTTGAGTCAAGCACATGATATTGGTGAGACTTTACAAGAGAAGTTGGAGAAATTGCCTGAAGTTGAGCGTGCATTTGTACATGTAGACTTTGAGTATACTCATAAGCCAGAACATAAGATTTAGATGTAATACTTTATAAGTAAAGGTTTTCTTTGAATAATTTGTGAGAGGTAATTTTATGTTCTAGTTACTTGTCTTTTGTAAGATTTGTGGTGATAAATTGTTGTGTAACATTGATCAATTTGTAATGTTTTTGCTTTTTGAGATACCTTTTTCTGGCCCTTTTTTTTGCGTTCTTTTCTTATAAGGGGTTGTTTGTTTGCCTAGAAAAAGAGGGAAATCAAAGAATAGGAAGCCTATTTCTAAGAAAAATTGTTTTGAGATTGTTTGGTTAGCTAAAAAAGAAAGAAATCAAAGAATGAGAGATGAATTGTCACATTATTATTGGATGATGTGGATGATTTTTTAAAAAAATTGTTTTGAGGTTGTTTGGTTGGCTAAAAAAATAAGAAAATAAATTATAAGAAACATATTTCCTATAATAGGTTCTTTTCTTGTGTTTGGTTCATTAATAAAAATAAGAAAATAGATGAGATGAGATGAGTTGTCATTATATTATTAGATGATGTGACTCACACTTAAGAAAATCAATTTCCTAGCTTTTTGGAGGAAATGAGTGGAAATAAAATGTTAATGAGATGAGATGAGTTGTCACCATATTATTAGATGATGTGAGTGATTTTTAAAGATGAGATGTGATGGAGATGAGATGGGTTGGATGATGTGACCCATTTCTTGTGTTTGATTTATTTTTAGGAAATGATATGAGATGAGTTGTGAGATGAAAATAATATTTTATTGGATGTTGTGGTGAGTTTTAAGGATAAAAATGGATGAAAATAATATTTTATTGATTTCCATGTACCCTTTTCCTTTTTCTTGATTTTTAGGAAACCAACCAAACAGCCCCTAAGTTGATAACTTGGTATTACTGATGCCTATTTTGCTTATGCTGAATCGTTTGATTTTTCTTTTCTCTCATATCGTAGACTAGGTTTATATCATACTTTTTCGAAATAGAGAAAATTAGAGAAAATCCCCCGAAGTTTTGTAGGAATATTGCAAATCCCTAAAAAAAAGTTGAGAATAAAAAAGGTCTTTAAAAAAGTGGTCAATATTGGCCAATTTTACACACATTTTTCTTCAAAATGAGATCAAGATCAATCTTGATCATATTTTCAGTTGTTGACAAACATGCAATTTAGCCTCAATTTGGCAACTACAAAAGAAAACTAGGCTAGATTTAGCTTTCCTTTTTTTTTTACAGAAGATTTAGCTTTCCTTTAATCATGCCAAGGTTGATCCAACCAGGAGTTTATTCAAAAGAGAGATAGTTCAAATGCTAGAATTTGAACTAAAATAAATCTAATTACTATTGCCAAGATAAAACTAACTTTTGGACCAAAAGTGTATCCGTTAAAACTAGTTTTGTGAAGTCACCAATGTGTCTTTGGCAAATTTCGCCTAGAGATATTGGACTAATATTGTTGGCCCAATTTTACGCAAAAAACCTTTTTCTTAAAATGGAGCTAGGTTTGAACCTGAATTTATTTTGAAGAGTTGCCAAACGCACTCCATTTAAACTGGTTTTGTTATGGTTCACTTCCACGTAGACCGAAGCAAACTTCTTTAATTTAAACCAAGATCATGACTAATCCTAGCCCAACTTTATGGTGATTGTTAAACATATCATGGTTTTTTCATTAAACAAGATCACATTAATATCATGTCATTTTTTTAATAAGAGCAATACTCTTATAGATACTTATTTTTTTTAATGTGTTTGGCAAACACCTAAAAATTGGGCTGGATTCAATCCTAACTCATTTCTACTCTTAATTAAGTGTTGGACCAACACTTCTTTGGTCCAGCATTAAGTAGAATTTACGGCCTCTTTTTAATCTAAGAAAAACTAGACTATAATTGACCTAGTTTTTGCTAATAAAAAATAAATCCAAAATTGAGCAAGGATCAGTGTTGGGTCAGGTTCAAGCCCAAGGTAGTGACAATTTTGTGATCGCTTGACTCAAGTGATACCCCTGCGCCCCTATTTGATGTGAAAATAAGGATGGGTTAAAATTGTTAAATGTAAAACATCACAAGATTTTCTATCATTTCTACAAACTTTAGGGGCATTTATTATGTGAAATATAAAGTAGAACTTATTAGATGCTACTAACAAAAAATCTTCGCGAGTGAAATATAGAGCCCCTAAATATGAGTAAAATAAACCTTTTTTATCTGTTGACTACGTCATGTGCTACTTCTAATTTAAAAGAAAATGGCAACATTACTATTCTTACTATAGCAAACATTATTCTTGCTACAATATGTTCAGAATATTAAAATTATTGTCCATGCTATACAGTCACATTGCTCGCAATGCAATGGTTTTTACTGTTCATGCTACAATGTAATTTTTTGAATCTTAAACATGTTTTATATGCTATAGTAAATTCTTTGGCCATTTATCCACTGTTCAAGCTGAAATACATTTTTTTAGCTTTGAAAACATTGTTCACATCTTGTTTTCGTTCTTGCAAATGATGAATTTAAACTTTATTAAACATTTCACAAAAATAAATTTTTTCTGGCTCTATTATAGAAAATTAATAAAACTTGCTAATTGTTGTATTATTTTGTTAATTGGCTAGGAAGTTTACTCTGCAAACAGTAGTAATAAAACTATCGCCGAAGTTTTTATAAATAGTTACATATAAAAGCCATATTTTCAATTTGACGATATATATAACTTGACAAATAACACCCACAGCAACTGTGGGGCTTAATACTGGTTTATTTATGAAGCAGAAAGGGTATTTGATCACTTTCTGTATAATTTTTAGCGTATTAGGACAAGAAGAAGAAATAAATAGAATTTGCTGCCGGACTGAAGTAGAGCAATACGTTATTATGGGAAAAAAAAGTAGCATATAAAAACTGAAGTAGATGGAAGCCCTTCGCCTAGCTTTTTTAATGGCGGAGATATTATTCTACGCATGTTATTCAAAGATTAAAGAAAGCCAAACAAATAAAAGGACAAAATGGTTAAATTATTATATTTTGTAGAAACTCAGTGATATATTGATATATTTTTTTCACTTTTGATAAATTAGTATATTTTGTAGACTCCGGCGTCATATACCCCTTAAGTTTGGTCGGATTGATTTTTCCGGCCAGTTTTCTCACGTGACGGCTCACATGATGCCCAGATGGCGGGATTTTTTTGCACAAAACCCCCTCATCAAATAACTCATCCTGCTTCTAAACCACCATCCTCCTCCTCCTCCTCTCCCTCCTCCTCCTCATCCTCTTCAATCTCTCCCCTGATAGGGTTTTATCTAACCCCCTAATGCGATTTGGAAATAGAGATGAGAGAGAAGAGAGAGAAAACAATTACACAAAACACACAAGATTTACATGGTTCACTTCTTGATGTGAGAAGATATGTCCACGATCACCGCAAGAGAAAATTTCACTATTTTCGTCAATCTTACAAGTTTCCCTAATCTTCCCTTTAATAACATAAGGGTTAATACAAACATGATTCTAAAACAGTTCAGCAAAAAACGAGCCCAGGCCCAAAAAACCTGACTCGGGGTCGACTGTAGATATAGTCGCGGTCAACTGCAAAAAATCCCGAGACTAAATCTGATAACAGGATTTGGCACGGTCGACCACACATGATGTCGTGGTAGATCGCAAAAAGTTCAGAGACTTTTTGTGGACCTGTGCACGTTTGCGGTCGACCACTACGCCACTCGCGGTCGACCGTGAAGCCTCCAAGCTGATTCCTTCAACGTTTTGCCTGAACTTCATCGTCGTCGTTCTTGTTTCTCCAATTTCTCATGTTTCCTCTTCAAATTAGGTATAGGGCAAGTCGGATAGTTAAGCTCCACTTATCCTAACAATCTTCCACTTGGAGACTAACTTTCAATCTCTATCACCTCTCCCTGCGGCGACGGCCTCTCATATCATCAAGTAATGAAGCCAACTGAAGTTGAACACAACTTCAGTTTCTTTATAGTGACAGTCTTCGTAAGCATATCAGTCGGGTTCTTGCTTCCTTGAATCTTCACAAGTTCCAACATGTCATCGTCCAATGCTGACCTTATGAAGTAATAACGGACCTTTATATGTTTGGTCCTGGCATGAAAAGCTGGGTTCTTTGCCAAATGAATGGCGCTCTGGCTATCACAATGTAAAACACTCTTCTCACTTTTCTGTCTCAACTCCTCCAAGAATCCTTGCAACCATATGAGATCTTTGCTAGCCTCTGTCACAGCAACATATTATGCCTCTGTAGTCAACAAAGCAACGATCTTCTGCAACTGAGAAACCTAACCGATGGCTGTAGAACCCAAAGTGAACACATATCCAGTAGTGCTCCTCCTGTGATCTATCTCACAAGCATAATCTGCATCAACAAAACCCTGCAGAACCAATTTGCCTCTCTTGAAGCATAAATAATTTTCTATTGTACCTTGTAGGTACCTTAGAATCCACTTTACTGTTTCCTAGTGTTGCTCTCCTGGATCTGACATGAATATGCTCACAGCTCCCACTGCATGGGCAATGTCAGGTCTCGTGCACACCATGACGTACATAAAGCTTTCAATGGCTGACGAATATGGAATCTTTATCATGTAATTTTTCTCCTCATCAGTCACTGGACATTGCTCCTTACTTAACCTAAAATGACTAGCTAAATGTGTGCTAACGACCTTAGCACTTCTCATTCTAAACCTCTCAAGCACCCGCCTAATGTAATCGGCATGAGATAACTGTAATGTGCCCAAGAGCTTGTCTCTACTAATCTTCATCTCCAATATCTGCTTTGTTGTGTATAAGTCCTTCATGTCAAACTCACTCGACAACTGCTTCTTCAGCTTCTTGATCTCACACAAGTCTGAACCGGCCACTAGCATGTCGTCGACATATAATAGCAAGATAATATAGCTGGTGTCAAGCCTCTTGAAGAAACAACAATGATCTGCATTGCACTAGAGTATTCGTTCCTATGCATGAATCCATCAAACTTTTTGTACCATTTGTCTTGGAGCTTGTTTCAGACTATACAAACTCTTTTTTAATCTGCAGAACATCTTTTCTTATCCTTTCTAAGTGAACCCTTCTGGTTGCTGCATGTATATTTTTTTCCTCTAGGTCACCGTGGAGGAAGGATGTCTTCACATCTAATTGCTCGAG